TAATTTTGTAATATATTAAATTATTATTAATTTCAATATTATGTTATAATTATTTTTTACTTTGAATATTTTTTTTTTAATTTATTACATAAATTTGTTATTTAACTATTTAAAATATATTTATGATAAATATTTAAATAGTATATAAAATATTTAATTTTTTTTGTTATTTGAAGCTATTACATATTATTAAATATTTGAAAAACATTTAAATTGATAATCCGAAAAAACATAATTTAAATTGTTAGTACATAATTTCGTGATATACTTTGTAAAAATATAATTTTTTTTTTGTGTTTTTAATAAATAATTTAAAGTTATTATATAATTTTGTTAGATTACTTAAATAATTCTTAAATTTTTTATCCAAACTTTAAATTAGAGATAGTTTAGGAGAGAAACTCTCTACTAAATTAGAGATAATTGTGGAGATAAATAGGAATTAGAGATAATTTAGAAGATAAATAGGAATTAGAGATAATTNCTCTACTAAATTAGAGATAATTGTGGAGATAAATAGGAATTAGAGATAATTTAGAAGATAAATAGGAATTAGAGATAATTCTGGAGAAAGTGGGGGAGATAATTTATGATAAATTTTAGGAGAAGATATTATTTAGGTTATTGGGAATGTGGATCTCATTAGTTGTTTAAAAAATAACATGGAATAAAAAAAAAGAGAAAATTTATAGAGAGAGAGAGAATCAGTGTGTGTTACTATTATCAAAGAAAATAAAACAATTAGGTGTTTCGTCAAAATGTGTAAAGACTCGTACATGTGAGAGCATCTTGGGCACCTACCATACTTGTATGAAGTTGCATTTTACATGTGAAGTTAGACAAATAAACTTTATTTACTGCCATCTGTGTTTATAAAACAGAGGTTCATCTCATGGAGTAAAATCTAAAATGTGAGAAATAAAACGAAAAAGGTGTTTTAAAATACCATAAAATGCAAATTCCACAAATATATGTACACAATAGATACCATTTGAGCTACAGCCCCTATAATTTTAATTTAAGAAGTTTAGTCAGGAAACCAGATGATTGGGCCTAATGGGAACATTTCTGAGGGTGATCATTTTCGGCCCAGAAAAGGCCCAATTTAGCCCGTAATATGCATCCTCTCGTTTTAACGGTTAGAATGTAGTAGGGCTGTCAAAGGGTCAGTTCTGGGTTGGAACCTGGTGGAACCGGTTCCGAACCAACAAGAAAGGACCCAGAATTGAATTAAATCTTATAGGGTCTATAATTTTGGACCCAAAACCGAACTGACCGGTTCTCGGGTATTTCGGGCCTGACCCGATGGTTACCTGCGAGAAGAAGAAAAACTAATAATACCCAGGGCTAGCTAGTAGCAAACTTCCGATATCTATCAAGTAATGGAAATGATTCACACAGCGCTATTGCCTATGATTCCACTGGTTGGACTCCACCAATCGTTGCTGCCGCTGTTGCCTCCACCGGTAATTGTTGCTGCTACTTTTGGTCTCTGTACAAGTTAGATTTTAATTTATTGGAGTTTAATAGATTTGAGACTAAGAGAGCATTGATGTTGAGTGAAACTATGAAAGGGAGAGTGAGAATGATTGAGTGAAAAAAAAAGCATAAAGAAAAAAAAGGGAAAGAGAGGAGAGAGTGTACTTGCAAGGTGAAGCCTAAACTTGAATACTTGGGTGTTGGAGCCGATGGTCTATACAAGAGAATTGAGAAAGATAGAGGTGAGGGAAATGATTTTGACGTTTTTCTTATTTTGTCTTAGGGTTTCTTATAAATAGATCTATTTAATATATACTAATCGAGGGGACCTTGCATTGCAGGGATTCGCTCATAAACTAAGGTTTAAGTTTTATTCAAATTAGAGACTTTAGCTCGACTCGCAATTAGAAGCTTAAAACTTTAACTGGCTTATCTTTGATTGTAGGTCTCTCAAATAACCGTAGTTACAAGCCGATGTATCCCTCAATTGCCGAAGTGCCAAATCGATGTATCCGTTTGCTCTCCATTCCACACAGGGCCGTAGAATAAAATCTTCTGCCAATAAAACACATTTCAAGCCTATACCAACATATCTCACACTGCACATCTTAATTTGAGAATGGGACCGGACCCGCTTTTTATGAATGTACGGTGTAAAATCATGCTGATAAAGGGTTGAAACGTATTATATTGGCAGGTGATCCGGACATGAAATTGAGAACAAGCGTGACTGATGCACGATTGCTCGACGTGGCTCCAGCATGCGGAGACACCTTGCTTTGTGAATCCAAAGGTTCCGGTATGAGCCGTCCTTGAGACCTGAAAGCCACAGTACCGGCGGCGATTCACGACAGAAGTCGGTAAATCTCCCACCCCCCTCTCTCTCTCTCCTCCCCATTCTGGCTCGGGTCCGGATCATCTGCCAACAAAACACGCTCCAATATCTACATATCTTCTCTGCTTCTCTTTACCATGTCTTACTGTCCAGCCCCTGTTCTTCGCCATTCATGGTTATCTCATGCACAAGCAGATGAATGCAAGTGAAAACACATTTTGTTACTTCATATGTACGGCGTCTTCTGCAAACAGGGTATGGGTTTTTTGGATCGTGCAGTGTTTTTTCTCATTGGCTTTTGTTTGTTCTCCATGCTAATGTATATTTTTTCGTTCCTATTTTCTTGAAACAGTTCTAGTTCGCAGTTTACTTGGGGGCATGCAAGGGTTCCACCGGAGAAAAATCGGTGTGTTTTCTTGTTCGTTCATTTGTTTGACAGGATGCCTGTATTACTTGGTTCAGAAAATACAGTTTTGTTATTTCTTTTAGGCAGTCCGAGTCACTTGTTCTATCTGCGCCCTACCCTTCCCCCATTGTTTTTGTGGATGAGTGCATCTCACGGCTTCTGGATATTATCTGTAATTATGGCCTCCTCAGACGATACAACAGTTTCTGTTGTGTTTGGGTTTTATTCACGCTCTTACTTCATTCTACGTTCTGAATTTCTGATGGCTTAGCTTTACACCATGCATTTTATCTTTATAACAAAATCAGACATTATATTGATATAATTTCCCCTCTCAAATTCCCCAAAGTTTTTTTTTTTTTTTTTTTTTTCTTTTTTGGTGAGATTCTTATTTACTTGGCGTATAATACATCAACATCAGGATCTCATGGTCTCCTTTATCCGGGTTTGGAACCGGCAGTGTAAGCTCACACTGGCGGAATTACTTGGCTAAGGATAATATATGCAAGATGCTGGATATAAGATATTGGAGTTGCTAAACAAGTATTGGCCAGAGGACGTGAGTAATTCTAAGGTCATTTAATGGTATTGTTGTTAATTATCATCACTGGAGTTGTATACCGCTTCATTGGATATAAATGACGAATCAGTTTAGAGGCATATCTGTTTATTTGGTGGTAAGGGATTGGCTAGTCATCGTGCACTTATCGCATTCTAAAAAATCGTGGACTTATCACCAATGCACATGCAAGCATATTATGCAGACATGGTCCCCTTGGAGGAGTGTATTATAGGTCATGGAGGTAAGATCATTTTGGATTATTTTGGTCTAGTTGGAGCAGGGGATTCTGAAAATATCTTGCCTTTCTTCAGGGGCCAAAGCTGATGTATTCTTTGGGGATGGAGTGAGTTAACATGGAAAGAGACTTCCAAGATCATTATTGGTTGGTTGCATGAAGGTTTCATTGGCTCTTGGACATTGGCCCATCACATTTGTCACTTCGTCCAAATTCCAATTTTCTTTTATTATAGTTTGTCTTTAAATTATAATTTTACCCTCCTTTTAGATAAATTTTCTTATCTCCTTTTCTTCTATCTTTTAATGTGAACACCTACAATAATTGATCTATGTTGTATGGTTAAGCTCTTCCTCATAATAACTTTATAGTCTTTATACATTGTTTGTTTTGTTTTATTAGTAAGGAGAAAAATCTATTTATCTTGACTTTGATTCACTTCTACAACTTCTAAATGTTATTACCTGTTTACTCTTCTCTTTAAAATATGTGTCTACTATTGCTAGATCATATGCTGTTGCAAAATCTAAAATTGTCTCTTGTCTTATTCTTTTCTCCAAACCCAAATCCTATATTCACCCTTTATTACCTTGCACTTCTTTTCCCCATATGACTATTTGGACACTTCCCTCTAAAAATCTTCTCCCCATTTTGGAATTTTTTGATTTAGTCCCTCTACAATTTTTTTTTTCCAAAAATTGTCTTATTGTTTTCTTCTAAACCTACAAACCCACTTGAGGTGTAAAACCACCAATTACATAACGATTTCCTCACTTTAACAAGTTTAATTAAAACTATTATTATTATCCTCAATTCCACTAACATTTACAATTTAATTCTTAGATATTTGCCTAAAACAAGTATAATAATTATACTTTATAACTATCAATTTCTTAGTTCTTTCCCTTCCATTTAGTTTTTTGTAAGCATGTTATTATTAATTTTTTGAGAAACAATATGCTTGTCAAAGTTCCAACATTTCAAGTATCTAAATGAATTCTTATCTCTTGGACTAACTTTTTTCCTACATTTGTTCAAAAGGATGTGGGAACCCTTGTCCACTTCTCACCACAGCCAAGTGTAGTTCTAGATCGTGTTTCTGGGGAACATATCACTTTTGGAGGACACCCTAGAAAATTAATGCTTAGATACTTGGTCAAATGAAGGACAGATTGGATAGGGCTTGAAATAGGTTCATTTTCTTTCTTTTCTTCTTAAAAGAACAATAAAAAACAATTAAAAAGAGCTTTTGGTTCCGTATATTTGGGAAAGATGGATTGTTTGATCTCTGTAATGGTATTTCTTTCTCATCTTTTAGCTTGGCAGGGAATTTTTGTAGTTCTAAAGAGATATGGTGCAAATTGGGTCAACTGGGCCAGGTTTAAGGCTAACTCATTGTTAATAACCCCACCATTACCGAGCTCATACCTGAGGCAATGCATGTGCTGGCCAATCTAAGCCCATCCCAAACTAAATTTTGGCAAAATTCCAGTTGGACCCTGGTTTGGACTGTCATTGGGCTGGCTTGTTGGGCTTGTCAGGCTCTAAAGGTTTTCTTACTAGATTTGTACAATAAACCCCACTCTCATAGATAAATAAGCCTATAACCTCATAATAAGCAAGCAATGAGGGAAAAAATGGAAATACATTCCATGTAGATGACATGCAATTAATAATGCAGATTAACATTTTAGGAAAAATCAAGCAAGGCCTACATATTGGGTACTTTTAAGATGCTACAACTGCAATGTAATAATTTCTACCCCTACTGAAGCGACCATTTGATTCTATATATCATATCATTTATACTTATGCAATATATGTGAGGGGTTAGTCTGGGCTTGTGTTGGGTTGCCCTGACTTGGAGCCTTGAATTACCCGGGGTCTAAGCAACCCAACCAAAACTTACAGGTACAGGTCAGTTTGATACTCAAAAATAAAAACTTGTATTATGCCCACTCAAGGTGCATACTAATGAGAGGCAACAAGGGTAGTAGGAATTCGGAGTCAAAAGTTTGTTTTGTGTTATCTTTTTTCCTAATTTCCTTTTGAAATAATCTTATGGGGGAGAGCATGCGTTGGAAGCTACATCATTTTGGTAAATATAAATAGGTAATGGATGCTACTGATAAAAAAAGTTACAGGTAGCCAATTATTAGGGGGTAGAGAAAGAGAGGAAGGGTGTTAGAATTGAGAGTTGGAAGGTTGATTTTATTTTGTTTCTTTATACAAGTTATGATAAAAATAAAAGAAAAGTTACCTATAGCTAATAATTAGGGAATAAACTATATGGCACTACCCTAAAGGAAACAATTAGAGGACCTCTAGGTTTGTGACTACCCAATAATCCTTTGCCAAGTGGAATTAGAAAAAATCAATCATCTGGTCAACCATTTTTTTTTGTTTTCTCTCTCCTTTTGATCCTAAGTTTTCAGAAGAGGTGGGGAGGTCTTTGAATTTGATATGTATTGTCTACCAAACCTCAAATCTTCATTCCAAATCAGAAACAAATTTTTTCAGAACAGACAAACTGCAACTCCAAATGAAGCTGTGAAAGTTATAGTGTTGTCTTGTCATCAATTCCACATTTTTCCAGTTGAACAACTTACTAGATTTGAATGGTTTAGTGAGTGCATTTGATTGAAATCTCCAACATCATTCTTGGTGTATGACCACCCAATATTTTCTTGCCAAATAGAACTGGAGAAAAATTTGTCTTCTTTTTTATTTCATTTTCGTTGTAAATTTTTAGAAGAGGGACTGCCTATCTTTCTTTTTTTTAGAAAGATAAAGTATAATGTATTGTATTAATATCAAAGTGTGGTCCTCTGTACAATGGATGCTGTACATGTAAAGCCTACTAGGGACCATCAAAAAAGTCCACCCTCAAAAAAGAAGAATAAGACATATCATCCTTAAATATGTGAACAGAAAACCAATTCTTTAATTCCTCTACTACCACATTGATCACCCCTGCCTCAGAATGGGATTTCTGTTCAAAGATTCTTTCTAGCTTTGATCTGTATTGTAATCTCTCCTGAACCTCATACCCTAATTTCATCCAAATAAAAAATCCTTTTTGAGAGCATCAAACATCAACTCCAAGTTGAATTTTGATTGCTGCTCTTTCAGAAACCCAAGGGATTTATGAATTGGAGTGTGTAGACTCTATATATTCACAGAGATAAACTTTATGTCTAATCAAGTTCTGCTAGGTTTGGGACTGTAATCAGAGCAAATATTTCAACCTTATTGCAAGGGTTGAGACGTGTGCACTTATTGGACTTCCAAAGATTGGAAGTGGAAGGAGTAGGGCAGTCAGTGGTTGAGTCCAAGATCCAATTCTATTATTTCGGACTCAGATGTTTCATTTATGTAATAGGATTGAAATCAAATTAATTAAGCAAGATCCATCTAATAATGGGATTGAAGATGGGCATAACTCAATTTATTAAGATCAGTGTTCAAGTGTTTTTATGGATATAGACACATTTACATTTCATCATATAATAGGTTTTACAGTTAACATGAATGGAGCTATATGGTATTATTGTAATGTACAACTCTAAAATGGTCAAGAAGAACCTGATGTATAATCTCTTTACAACGACCCAAAACCCTTACCATCTACCTTTAGATAGAAGATGTGGAGTGCAGAACACTTTGAGAATGAAGACTCTAACTTGCCAGAGCTAAATAGCAAGTCTCAAACACCTAAATTTCGTTCAACTTCTGAAGTTTTAATGGACTCCTTACTAGATTAAAGAGACTGAGATGCCAGGAGAGATTAGCAAGAACTATGCCTATCAACTTTCAAGATTATAATCAATCCCATCTTGCAAAGCCTCAAGATATTACATGTACATCTTTGAGCTCCTAAAACCGTAAACAATTCAGCTCTGCGAAGCCCTAAGATTAGGCAATAATGTTTTAATTGCCAATCATGTAAAGATTTATGTTTTTACTTTTTTTTTGGTTTGTTCATTATTTGAGGGATCTTTGGGTATTTAGCTCATTCCTTTTGTTTCTGTTTCTGATTCATAGAAAGAACAAAGGAATCTTTTCTACATAGGTGGGTTGCAGATATCTACTAGAAACCCCAAACCAGCCTAATCCAAATCTGCAGACTTTGAAGCTCAATTAAGTAGGGCTTATTGCTGCAATTTGAGGTATCCAACATTCGACAGGCATAAAATTATTATTATTAGGGAAATTGTCAAAAACTCACCATGAGTTTTTAGCATTTCTCTTAAACTCACCACAACTTTTCAAAATGTCTAAAACTCACCATGTCACTAACTTGATGTTAAAGACACTAACGGCTGTTAATATATTACCATTTTAACCTTCATAGAAAAATATAAAATATATACATTTATTTTAATATTTAGACATGAAAGAAAGAAAAAAAGTTCAAAAAATATTTTCAAATATAAAAACAGAGAAATTACAAAAAATATAAAAAAACTATAAAAACTGCACACAAAATAAAAAATTATTTTCAAATTATAGAAAAACACAGAAATTGCTAATAAATAGCAAAAAATACAGGAAATATTATGAATGGTAGAAAATAGAAAAATGTAAAAAAAACAGAAATTATAAAAAACATTAGAAATTATAACAAAACACTAAAAATGTAAAAAAAGAAAAAGAAAATTGAAAAACGAAAAAGACCCTTTTCCTCTAACTCGCCATTCAAGGGTGATTTGGTCATAAAAATTGTTATTTATGCTGATGTGGACATTTCTGTTAAGAAACATTAACGGTGCACTAACAGAAGGTGAGTTTTGGAAAATAAAAACTTATTGATATGGTGAGTTTTAGACATTTTGAAAAGTTGTGGTGAGTTTAAGAGAAATGCTAAAAACTCATGGTGAGTTTAAGAGAAATGCTAAAAACTCATGGTGAGTTTTAGACAATTTCGCTTATTATTGTTGTTGTTGTTGTTGTTGCTTTTCTTTTCGTTTTTTTTTTCTTTTGGTTTTTGTCCTTATTCCATACTTGGTAGTTGTGAAAGCTAAAAAAGGACATAAATATATGATGGTTTTGTTTTTGGAGTTTACTGTTGTATGGAAACTTCTTTAATTTGTCTTTCCTTATTTTCTTAAAAAAACTTTAATACGTGAAACTGGAATTGGATTAGATCTGAATGTCCAACCAGCAATTCGACAGGACTTTATCGAATTCAAGTCGAACATAGATGCAATGGATCCTATTCAAATCAGACCCTTTTACAGAGGTTCTCGAGTTTAGCTAGTCATGGAGTTGACAGAAGAGTGCTACATTGGGAGTCATCCATTCTTGGGAAATGGTTCTGTCATATGTTCGGATTTTATCTATTGGGATTTTCTTCATTGAAGATTGGGTTTGGGCTTCTTATTGGGTATGCGTTATATTTGTTTATCATTGTTCATTTTCTCTTAATTATTGTGATGCAAACAATGGACTCTGTGGACCAAGCTATGGGTGATTGGGTGTTCGATACCATTTTTGTTTCTGAGTGCAAGAACTCTCTACTTTCCCATGCTCATGGTCATTGATTTGCACCAGTTAATTGATGTGGAGCTCCTATTTATGTCAGTTCTCTTTGTTGCAGATCAACAGAATTTTGGTAATCTAGCCCACTTCTGGGCAGTGTTATCTTAGACTTGTATCTGTAGGAGTATCTTTCGATTGGTTCTAGCAGACTGGCATTCTTGTCGGTGCCGCTTGGTCATAAATGGAAATCTTGGGTGTACTAAAATGATGGAGATATTGCATCAGTTGATAAGTGAACCTCATCGTACATGAAGTGGGTAGCCTGGACGCTTTAATTGGGGGATCTAAACTTTCTGGGCGTCATATGGGTTCGACACTTGGACTTAACCGTATGTGGTCTTTTCGTGTATACTCTCTCGCCCTCTCTCTGGAAATGGTTCCCTGCAATGAAATGAAAAGTGTGGTATTCAATCATGATGCGGGCAAGTTCTCTGCGAGGAAAAACATGGTAAAGACCTGAGGAAATTCGATAACAGAAGAATTGGGGAGGTGGGACATCTTCAAACCAATGTGGAGGACTTGGATTAGCGCTTTGGGGTGATGGCAGGATGCCTGGTACAACACTTATGAGGGGTTGAACCTGCTAGTCGCTGTGCTTTTATGGAGAGATGATTGCTGATTACGTAGGAGACTTTGGACCTGTGGCGATTGTTTTCCAACTTAAAGTTCAGACTCGCAATGATGATTGATGAAGACTGGTGTATTATATGGTTCATACCCAATTCTGGGCCAGTTTGCTTTCCATTTACAAAGGCGACCGTATCGACAGCTGGTAGTTGGTGGTGTTGGACCTGTTAGTGTTATTCCATTTCTCAAAGAGGGAAAAGGAATGGAGGCCAAAGCAAGGCATGCAGAAGTCACATGCTCACTATGAGGTTGGCTTGTGTTATTCCATTTCAAGCAATGAAGGGTTGGACCTGGAAACACTGTTCGTTCTGATCCGATTCTTGAACTACAAGTGGCTCAGTTTGGAAGGAGTACAAAGACAAATGTGTAAAGTGCAAAATCTTTTATTTTGTATTATTTTGTATGTATGTGCACTGCACTTGTTTGTATTTGTACTCCTTCCAAAGTAAGCCAAACCGGGTTTAAATATTACAAAGGGCAATAATAAGGTTTCTAAAACATGGACCTACACGGCTACAGCTACGGCCATTTAATGTGTGTGAAGTTGTGAGCTCTTAAAGTTGGGTAGGTTAATATCTTATTATTTAATTATTTTATACAGGACAAAGCAATAAATTGTTCAGTTCAGCAGTCTCTGATATTGAATGGCCATTCAAGTGAAAATTTTCATAACCCTCCCTCCAAAATCCAAATGCAATAAACAAGGTTAAGCAATGAGCTGAGATGGGACAATGAAAATATACATGTGATTTGATTGAGAACCATGGAGGGGCTGTGGACGGGGATGAAGCACACAGAAGAGCGTTTACATCTTATGGATAGTTTGGGTTGTTCCTGTAACCGTTCTGTGTGGCTTAAAATCTTTTTTCTGCACGTAATTAATTGCTCTCATTACCAAAAATGAGAATGGTACTAATGTTTTAAATAGTCTTTGCACTCTATTCTCTACTTGGACTCGTTTCTTGAAGAATTTTAAGATTGTCATCATCTAGCCTCAGCTTTCTCAATTGCTCAAGGATTAACTAGGACTTGTTTCTTGAAGAATTTTAAGATTGCCATCATCTAGACTCAAGGCTTTCTCAATTGCTCAAGGATTAATTAAGGATGCACTCAATTGCTCAAGGATTAATTAGGGATACAAATGGATAAAATATTATTCAAATTGGGGCATATCCGAATTTGGTTTGATAATATCAGATTCGATCCAATGATATGATTGGATTTTACAAAGGTCAATTGAATTTGAATTCGTTAAGGATGTTGGATATCTGAATCTAATTTGATTTGATTGAATTTCTATAAATTTTAACTAATTTATTAAAAAGGAAAACCATGAAGTCTATATAAAAGAAGCATTTTTCAACTATTTTTAATCATATATACATTTTTTTTGTAAAAATAATTAATATAAAAAATTGCAAACATGCAATATAACCATATTTATATGATTGGATTGGATTCTTTTGGATGGATGGGGGATCCAAATTCGATCCGACTGACCCAAAAATCTGATTGGGAGGGGGGGGGGGAGGGATCTGAATCTGACAAAATATAATGACCAAAGATCATGATCTGGCCACTTGCGCCCTTTGGATTAATCATCGGAAATGCAAGATGGTCTGTCAAAACTTTACCAACTTGCATGTAAACAATTGCATCTATTTTGTGATTTCTCATCACCAATTCACCATTCGTGGTTTAGATTTTAGTGGAGCTTCTCTTCCCCGGTCCCAAACCATCTCAGAATAACTCCACCGAGTTCATCCAAACATCATATCCCTAACTATAGTTTCTTCTAGAACTAACCAATTTGTCGGATTTTTATCTTATACGTAGTGTAAAATTTTATAAAGAATTCCTGCCTACACTTAGGCTATGTTTGGTTTGAAGAAAAAGGTAGGGAAAAACAGGGAAATCAATACAAGGTTTGTAAAAGTTTCCCTACCTTTCTCTTCCTTTCCCTACATTTTTCCTTCAAACCAAACATAGCCTTAGTTCATGAATTTTCTTTTTTTCCACGTCATCAGGAAGAATCTCTAGTTTCTGCATTTCAACCCAAGAAACCTTACAACTCCAATTGTTCAAATCCAATAACTACAAAAAAACCTTGGACTTCATTGACAAATGTTAGACAGTCATGGAAACACTTATTCTTCAACTCTCATATCTTAAGTCGAAAACCTATTCTGCATCAATTGATCATATCGTAGCACCTGTTCATTATATCCTTTACATTAGTTTAATTAGTATCATAGCAATCGATTCTGCCTGATGCAGTGATTTTGAAATTCTACTTTTCTTCTGTGGAATTCAATAACATTCAGAATGTACGCTTGCATCTTGATTTGAACATAACCTAAGAAAGCATTTATGTCAAGGAATTTGGGGATGGGAACATAACCTAAGAAACCATGGTTTTTAAAAACGAATTGGTGACCGAATCGGTCAGGGTCTGGTTAACGGTTCGAACGGTCCAACCATTTGACCCGAACGGCTGACCTGTTCTGACAAAAAAAATAAAAATTTTTAAAAAAATTGAAAAACGGTCAAAACCGTTTGAACGGTTAACCGTCCAATTCAGCGGTTTGCTGACCAAAATCAACGGTTTTGGAGGAAAATGGAACCGGTCAGGTGACCGTTCCCAATTTTTCCGGTCCGACCGTCCGGTTCGGTCCGGTTTTGAAAACAGTGCATAAAACATTGTATTTTGTATTCTTTTGTAAATATTTGCATTTGCATTTTTTCCAAACTGAGTCTCTCAATCCTGATTGCATGGAACCAAAAACACAGAAACAAGCTTGATCTTAGGTTGTTTTTGGTCTGAAAAAATAAGAGAATATGATGGATAATTTAAGTGATTATTTTACTTAATTGGGAAAGGAAACCACTAAGTTGGGATTAACATTATGGAACCATGTTCATACGGCCACTAATATTGAATTATTGATCTGAAGCCTCTTGTTTTGTTTTGTTTTTTTAACTAGAATTTTACTCAATGGGGTTACACAATTGGGGTTGAGCTAAGAAGCCATTCACAGTTTTAACAGTTGGGCTTAATAGCTATACTGTTTTGATGGAAAACCCATGGAGATAGTTTCAGTGGTGTCCAACTCCAAACTGTGAAAGACTTTGGGAGGTTCACGGTGGAACTTTGTTTGGCTACTAGACGACGAATGTACTTCGATATGGAATGGTACACACAGAGATTACATCAACCTTCATATATTGCAGACCAGAATTCAAAAGGTTGAGCTGTATCTGGTGGACATTCCAAGTGGAAGTCCTCTCATTAATTATCAGTGTTGCTTCACGTGGTAACTCTGTACTACTGTGCCTTTTTTTCTTTCCTTCTCTGTTTCGCTTTCTGTATTCTATAAGCTCTAATATATACTTCATTTAACGAATGTGTTGGCATGGAAATTTTTACCCTCGCCTTAAAAATCCATTGGATTACATCGGCTGTAACATAAACTTCGCCAACACTCAACAGGGGCCAGGAGCCTATTAATTCTTTGCAATAACAGATAAGATCAGGAGTCAAGAGTCATTAATTAGCCCAGTGTTGGACGAAATTTGTATTTTATTTTATACATGATATTAGCCCTATCAACATGATACTGATCAGCTCATGAGCTGGATATTTTATCTCCACAACAACGTCTATTTCTGGTCTAAGAGAACAGCTCCACTGAGCTAGTACGTTTTTTAATTTATGTCATGATTTAAGTGTGTTTTCTCAGCACTGTCAGCTAGGGTTTATAGCAGCAAAAAGTAGGTATGTGCACATCTTTGTTAATTTATTATTTCATATTAACAATTAAACTATACAAACACAATGAGTAAATAGGTATCAAGCTTTAACAAGGGCTAATGGGCTATAGTAATATTCTATTTATATAGATAACGGTATAGAGAGTGGCCTCTCAGACGCTCATTTTGGAATTAGAGCAAAGCCAGGAAAGCAAATCCTAACTGGCTAAGGATTGAGGGTTGCTAATAACTAGCTATTCTCCCACTCACAAGACACACTTTCTACATTCAACTAATACATGGGGTTCGAGGGGTTTGGCTTAATCTGAGTCAATCTGAATCTCATCCTAACTTCCTGACCGAAAAAAACAAAAAAAAAAATTCTCATAATGATTATGGAGGTACCAAACACTTCCTATATTTCTCCCGTTGCCGGTGCAAATTTAATCATCACATGAAGACCATTTCCCTCCGTCTTCAGTTTTGTTCCTTCACGTGCCAACTGTCAACATGCGTGTGTGTGTATGTATGAGAGAAAGAGAGAGACGAGTGGTAGCACAGATCTACGTTACAAGTATCATTCAAAGTTAAGAAACAACAAATGGCCAAACACCCAACTCCACTCCTCCACCTGTCCCTTTGCATGCCCTTCTGCCCTCCGTTTGTCTCTCTCTCTCCCCTTCTCTTCCCCCCCAAACGCCCAAAGCTACTCTCTCTCTGAAGCCTGAAAAAATTCCAAACTCAGAGTCTCCGGCCGCCTCCAAGTTCTCAAAACCCTCCTCCTCGGACACCCGCACACACGAATAGACAAATCAGAGAGGAGAGGGGAGGGCAACAACTATACACAGCATTTCATTGTAAATCTCCTCTGAACAAAATTTCCTATTAAACATGAAATCCTAGAGAAAAAAAAAAAACGGACGATAATCCTAACAAGAAATAACTGAAATTGAACTTAAAAAGCATATAACTTGAACTAAAAAATATTTACATTTTTTTTGCTGGGCAAGCAAGACGATTGGATGATTAGATGGGGTTCCATTTTCAGGTGCTGATGGATTCATCGACCCAAACTAAGTGCAGCTTTGACGTCCAACTTCCATGCAAACCCTCCATCGTCCATTCTCCACACGTCACAAGGAACCGTCAACGAGTTCTTCTCCTTCTTACAAGAAAGTTGCAGCCTCACTCGACACGCAAATACCGGGCAGGTCACAGGCAGCCTCTCCTTGGTCACTAACCACACCATCTCCGGTCCCGATTCCCCCTCTCCATTCCTCACCATCCTCCTATAAGCTTCGTTCGTCCATCCCACCCTACAGAAACCGTCCGATATAAAACCAGGACACGTGCCTCTCTCCAGATTCTTCCTCTTCTCCTCGTCCGTCCTCCCCAACCCCAACCCTTCCCCATCCACACACGCTTCCGTCACGCACTCAACAATCACCAATGACCCAACGGGCTTTACAGGTTGTGGCATTACCAGGGTACAATCAGTGGAAGCAGACATGCCAGAATTACCCGTCGGATTATTGAAGTTCAGCCATATCGGTACGTTGTTCGGTGGCGTTTTGATTTCCATTGTCGTCGTCGTCGTCGACGACGACGATGTAATCACGTTTAGATCAAGATCCGATGATACTTTCAGCGGCCTCAAATCTTTGGGTTCGGGTGCCTCAGGCAACAACGGCAACAACGTGGCCACTGTATCTTCTAACCCATCTTTCTTTTCTTCCGGAAACACCCTTCTCTTCCTGTTGCACCGTCGACTGTTGTCTCTAACGTATCTTTTCTTGGCTCTTCCCGTCCTCCCAAACACGTCCTTCTTCTCGGGAATAGACGAAGCAAAGAATGATCCACCAACAGCTGGTTTAGGTGCGATCGGCCGGAACTTGAGCATTATTCGATCGACCTTTGACATATCGTACGCGTACCGTTCGATGCAGCAGCCTCCTCTACCATCCATGTTTTCCCTCCTCCTCCTTGTATCTGTCTCTCTCTCTCTCACACACACACACTCACCCTTCCCTCAACGAGTCTCTCTCTTTCTGACTCTCAGTCACAGATCGTAGCGCAGTGAATGCAAGCAAACGAGTTAGCTGATACTTATATCGGCTGTATGAGGGACACGTGTTTAGATTAACACGTGTTTAGTCAATATTCTCAACAGCTCAGATAAGTTATTGGTTGGAAGCGAAACGTGTCGTCGTGGGCCCACGTGATTGGGTTAGATCTAACGAATAGGAGGTTGCGGTTGGGCCCCAGGAAATAGCCAATGATAAAAGGCAGAATGTAGGGTGGTGATACCAAAAAGAAGGACACGTAGACGGACCTCGGGCGCCGTGTACGGTTTTCAGGGGGATAAAAAGCTTTTCTGGGTGGAGGTTCTGGAAAGTGGACACTTGGGCGAATCGAATTCGGATAGAAACAACAACTTTAGCGTTTCAGCTTTCCATAATTAGAAGGAGATGGTGGTGCAACGTGGACGGTTGGATAACGATGTTGTCATGTAAGAGAAGCGATTTTGTCTCCGCGATTGGGGAAAAGGGTTAGACGGTTTCTCTCTCTCTCTCTCTCTTTTAAATTACTTTTTTCTCTTTTTTTTTTTTCCCTGTAGTCTGTGTAGTCTCTGTGATCTCACCTGTCCTTTTGTTTTCAATTTAAGGAGTTCCTTTATCTTTTATTTGCAGAGACAAACACTACGACAGTACGCCTTTTCGCGAATTGAGGGAGCCAAAAAGAAGGGGGTTCAAATCGGGTGCCCACTACCGCATCGGATGCCCAGGATCCATTGAAAATTTATAACAAAGGTCGCCTGCCTGCCTGTGGGAACTGGGAAGAGATAGTGGATGAATCATGAATGGCAGAAGAAGAGGGTTTAATTGTGTAGAAGCTGACATGACAGGCCAAAATATGTTAATGCATGCATGGATTTCTCCATTGGTGTACAGTTGTGTTCCCAAGGATTAGAAGGTCATTTTCATCATTCCTTCAAGGTTTTTTAAAACCGAATTGGACAACCAATCGGTCAAGGGTCCAGTTTACGGGTGAAGCGGTCTCACCGTTTAAACCAAACAGACGTCTGAAAAATAAAAAACGATTAAAACCGTTGACCATTCGAATCAGAGGTTTGCTGACTAAATCAATGACTTTTGACAAAATAACGATTCTGAGGTAAAACGGATCAGGCCGGTTCCTGATTTTTCCAATTCGACCATCTGATCGGCCGGTTTTGAAAGCCATGCCTTATCTTATGTAAAGAGCATAGAAACAAAAGAATGTAAGCGAATATTCACGAAGGAAGGGGAACGGGGGAATATCACAATGTCCATTGGAGGAGGACTCATGTGAGCAAAGATGTATCACGGGCTGATCCAGTGTTTTATGTCCACGTAACCATTTCTTCATGTACTGTTAACTTAAAAGCTAGCACAGAGATTTAATAATTCTTTGAATTGATTTATTGTCCTATTTACCCCGGTACACACTAAACCCTTTTTCTTTCGCAGTCCACGATCCACAGCCTCATCTCCGGTTTTTATTTGTCCTCGACACGTTAGCTCAGGCGTTCAGCATTGTTTTCATATACAGACTGGTGTATGGTATCATGGTATGTCACACGGGACAGGGAGGGCCCTACGGACAGCAGAGGCTGTGAACGTAGACAGCCATTTTTTTTTCTTTTTGAGTCGAATTTCCTAAAATCACTCTAGGACAGGTGTTCTTCCTTTATACTCAGAGCAACTGGATTTGACAGTTGACACCTGGACACATGTCATACAGTAATTGCGTAACAATTACTCAGAGCAACTGGTAACAATTTTTGTTTGAAACCTTATAGCACAGCTATCCAATGGATCGAGCAGTTACAGGGAAGCAATATCAAAAGGCCCATCTCTACTTTGTACTTTTTCATTATATATTAGTAGGGTCCAAATGTATATTATAAGATTCGATCAGAAATCTTATAATATAAATATATATAATATATAACCTTTCAATATATATATATATATATATATAATATGTTGTTTATTTATAAATATGTTTTTTATATTATATTTTTATAAATTTGTTATATTATTTATTTTTTTATAAATATATATATATATATATATATATATATATATATATATATATATATATATATATATGATGAAAATAATTAAAAAGCTTGTATTTTTTGTTTTAATTTTATTTAAATTAGTATATTTTATTATTTTTTAATAATTTATTAATTTTTACAGAAAACAAGTGGGATTGAATCAGATCCAAAGATCCAACTTACCGATAGGATTCAAATCTTATCAGATCCAATCGGATTGGATCCGACATGAAGAGTGGTAGATCTGATTCAAATAACCTTAATTCGAATCCGATTCCATCCATTTGCATTCCTATATATTAGTAGACAATACAACCAAGCTGCTATCCTTTTGCTTATCTAGCTTGTAAAGGGCAGCTAAATATATACTACAACTCCTCTACTTCTGCTCATTTAACTTTTTCTATTCATGAATGAAGCTGCGCCTCTTATGTTGCACAAAAAAAATCAGCAATTCTTCAAACATTTGGTAAGATTATATTAGGGAGTGATTATTTGAAAAAAAAAGTGTTTATTCTAATAAGTACTCATTATTTGGTGAAAAAGCAATTATTTCAAATAATAGTATTATAGGTATTTTTAAGATTATATGGTGGGCTAAGACAGGTTAGAATTGTTAAATAAGCACTTAAAAATAAGGTCGAATTTTGGGTTTTTCGAATAAGTGTTTATTGTCGGAATAAATACTTATTTAGGGCTTGATGAATCAATTTTTGGTGATATATCAATTTTTTGTGCTAAGTACCTCATCATTTGGTCTGCTTCCAAGCGGCCGATGATTTAGAGGCCGAAGTGAACTTTTGTTGGATGAGGACCTGGATGCCGAGCTGGGGGCAGATTAGGTGCCAAATTAACTTGGGCGAACTGGGTAGGTTAGGTGCCGAACAAGGCAAGTTAGGTGACGAGCTGGATTGATTGTTGAGCTTCGTAGTTCTTTAGATACCTGCAAAGAATCAATGTAAGAGGACCCGGGGTGGCTAACCCGGCGATGTCGCTCCGATGCTTAAGTCAGTACTCTCATAGTAGACTGCGAGCTAAAAATCACAAAGTATGAGA